CGGGGGCCGTGGCCCTGTTGGTCGTCCGTCCCGGTGGCAAACAAAAGAGAGAAGAAAAAAAAAAGTTAGCCATGTGTCTGATTATTCTAATGGGCGGATCTTATGGAGAGACATTATTCTAATGGGCTGATCTTATGGAGAGACAGTAACTGAAGGATGAAGAATCATCGCTTGTTAAATAAACAGTAGGGTCCGAAACTAAAAAGTTGACATCATGATCCTCAATCCTTCCAACATGTTCTAACATGGATTCATCTGCTTTTGGTGCGATCAACATCATATTACTCCAATTAAAGCCTAAGCCATTTCATTAGAAAAGAATTAGCTTGTTTGGTTTTAGTTTTGATTTTGGTTTTCACGAAGCAATTTTCAAAAAACTTTATTTTTTAATTTTTATATTTTTCAATTAATTAATTTAATCTTTTAAGCAGATTTTTTTTTTTTAAAAAAAAAAAAATTTAGACACTTAATATAAATATACTTGAAAAGTATAATATTTGTGATTTTTTTTTTTAATAAAAAATACACTACTACCAAAAAAATACAAAAAAATGCAAAAATTCAATACATTTTCATATTTTGTGTATTTATTAAATTTTAAAAATATTTTTTCACAAATATTTTATTATTTAGATATATCTAAGTAGGGTGCATCTAAAAAAATAAAAAAAAATTGCTTAAAATTTAAAAAATATTAACTAAAAACAAAAATAAAAAAACACGAAAAACAAAAAACAAAAAACAAAAAAAAAACAAATTGAATAATGTTATATATATCAATTAATGTACTAACTAGTATTACTAACAGATATGATATAATTTTAGAGGCTTTAGATATTTGTAACTTGTTATATAGGTGGAGTCAATAATAATGGTAACACTAGTTGATATATTAGTGTGTACATTAATTAGTGCATGTATCCCACCATTTAAAAAACTTAAAAATAAAATAAAAACAAACAAAAAAGCAAAGAAAGCATTCACTAAAAACAAAAAAAAAATGTTTAAAATTTAAAAACATTCATTAAAACAAAAAAACACGAAAACTAAAAATCAATTTTTAAAAAATTTAATTCAGAAAGCTGAAACGGAACGACAGAATCTTATTTAAAAAATAATAAAAGAAAGAAAAACTAAAGTTACTGGAGGCAACACTACTGCATCAAGTACTACTTCCAAGCATAATGCTGGAGAGAAGTACACCATCAATAATCCAACCTAAAACAGAGACCTGGTTGAACATGTGGTGAACCTACTTGGATTTATCATTTATCCACTGGAATGAAGCCAGTTCCATATCATCGGACTATCCCATAAATTTTCTCCACGCACCCCTTTGCAAATTCAACTGTCGGAGAGCAAAGCTACAACTGGAAACCAGCCGAGTCCAGAAGTACTGCTTTGATCTGCTCGGGTACAACTTCTAGGCCTTCCCTGCATTGCTGGTGATAAACAAAATATAAACCAATACTACACACTGGTTAAAGATCCCAAACCATTGGAAAATAAATTAAATACATTCTGATTAGACCTCTACCACAAAGTAGAAACCCAGGAAAAGGAGTGATGTATTTTAAGTCGGTCCATAAAATTTCATAGGTATAGCAAAAATAAAAGATCAGCGAGGTTTGGCAACTCATTTTAGGTTGTCCCCATAAAATTGTGGACTTTGCTAGTTCAGAATGTGGAAAGGGATGCAAGCATTGGCATATGGAGGAGATTAGATAACAAATCATTGCATTGAATGCTAGTTATAACTTGTAATTATTCTTCTATCACGTTACTCCCTCTCTCTCTCTTAAAGGATAAATTCTATCCAGTTACTTTCATCAAGCAAAGAATATGATTTTTTTTAAGAAGCAAATGAAGCTTAAAAGGATAATGACAGAATAAGATCCATATACCTCAGCTATAAATACATCCAAAGCAAACCCATTGAAACAGCTGATGACGGCTTTGCTGAATGTCCAGCCCAAGGTTGTCCAGAGCCCTCATGGTGGAGAGCAAGAGACCTGGTCTGCGGGCACAGAACATTGTGGATTGTTTTTAACAGGATCTCTCTCCCCCCCTCAAATAAAAAAATATTATTAATATATATTACTTTTAAATTTAATATTAATAATAAATAATTGTTTAAGCAAAGATGGTCCCCGCTGTTGCTTTGGTCATTGTTAAATGCGGCCCACCGGAAAAATGGGTTATTTTTTTATTTTTTGACTTTTTTTGATTATTTTAGTTTGGAATTAAAAATTTTAGTTTGGAAATTTTTTTTGATTTTTTTAGTTTTTTTTAATTTTTTTGTGAGAGAAAGAATGTAATGATTATGGATTGGATGTGATATTTTGTCTTATTAGGCTAAAAAATCTATTTTGTTTTTTGTAACTATTTTAACCCAAAAAACCTCAAAACCAACTTGCCAAACGGATGCTAAGTCCCTTCTTTTCATTAAAAAAAAAAAAAAAAAAAAAAAAAAAAAAACTGAACATAGCATAAAAAATAAAATTTAATTAAAATTCACTTCTATTTCTTGATGAGAGAGAGACCGAAAGTAGAAAGAAAAAAAAACCTAAGAAGGGTTTTGATTTGCTGTACACCTAGGGCTGTAAATCTGACCCGACTTGGTCTATGTCGGGCCTCGTAGACTTTTGTTAAAATTCGGGTTGGGCCAGGCCGGCCCAAGGGCCAAAAAATAAAACTCAGACTCAAGCCCAGGCGCAGAGTTATTCGGGCCGGCCTGATAGGCCTGAGCCTGCCCTCGGTCTTGGGCGAACCTGACTAATTTTTTTTTAATTTTTTTATAAAAAAATTTCTATCAGAAGTTTATTATTTTTTACTAAAAAATACACTGGGTCTCGGATAGATCGGACCTTGAACCGGGTTTTGAGTGGGTTTTAAGCGGGCTAATAGGCTGGCCTACGGGCCGAGCCGGGCCAGGCTTCAAAATGATGACCCAAGCCTCGGGGCTCGGCCCATCCCAGGCGGTTATTTTTACACTCCTATGTACACTGTTTTATTGATTAAAAATCTAGTTTTTTTTTTTTTTTTTTTGAAGTCAAATCAACATGGGAACATAAAAAAAAAAAAGTGTTGCTTTTGCCATTAATCTTCTTATTATTACAAGTGGGTGAGTCATATTCTCTTTTATTATTGTTTTCAATTTATAATAATTTTTTTTTTCTTTCAATGTCATGTTGATACAATTGTAAATTTTTTAATTTTACATATTAAGAAAAAAAACTATGAATTTAGGACGTATGATCTCAATTACTAGGTTTTTTTTTTAATCATATTTGGAAAATTTTAATTTTATTCAGATTAAGTGTTATAAATTCAAAATTAAAATGAATTCACACTTGTATATAATTTATGTGTCGACACTACAAGAAAAGGGAGTAAAAAACACGGAAGCATTAGCGACGGCGCGCCTCCCGTCGCAAAAAATGGTTTTTTGCGACGGCAGCTGAAACCGTTGCAAATAAAGGTTTTAGCGACGGCGTTGTCCCGTCGGTAATAAAACTACACGGGTAGGGTAGTAAATGTGGAATTATTAGCAACGGCGATTGTTACCGTCGCAAAAAAAAAAAAAAATTGTTTTGAAAAGTTGTAATTCAATTTTTGTTTTTCTTCTCGAAACTGTACCGTTTACAATACAAAAGGAAATTTTTCAATACTCACTTTAATTTTATTGATTTATCACAAGTACATTCTCCCAACCAAAGTTGATTTTACATAACATTTGATCCAAATCCCTAAATGTTTGAAACACATTTTTTTCCCCCAAAATCCTCAAACGAGCTACGAAGGCGAACGGCTCTCTCTGGACGAGCGACGAACGGCGAGCAGGCTAGCGGTGGTGCGGTGGTGCGGCGGCGACAACGACAAGTAGCGGTGGTCCGGCAACGAGTCTCTCTCTCTGCGTATGCTCTCTCTCTCTCTCTCTGTATATATATATATATAGAAAAATATATATTTTTAGTGTGGAAAATCCTAGAGGGGCAAAAGCAAAATTAGATGGACAAGTCTATAAAACTATAGATTGAAATGATATTTTCTAGAAATCTAGAAGGGCAAATCAAAAAAATTATAAACTGTTAGTGAAGGAAAAAATTTAAAACCAAATATATATATATATATATATTTCCAATCTTTCCATATCTATATTAATGTATCTGCCATTATTTGTACCCTTTATTTTTCCTCATCAATCAGTGCATTCTTGCGACTAAATCAAAGAAAATTATAAAATTATAGGTGAAAATAACGTTTTCAAAATTTTAGTGAGGAAAATTGAAGAAAATATTTAACCCCAATATATATATATATAGTTTTCCAAATAAATTTGTGGTGTTTGTTACGGTTCTGTTTTTATTTTATAAATTTTTCTATATATCATTTATAAATTTATATAAATAAATTGATTCGATGTAATTTTTTTATTTTATCATGTCTTTGAAAAAATAGACATAAAGTTTATTTTGAAAATAGATTTTTTTTTAAGACAAAAATAATAAAATAAAAATGTTATAATTATTAGATTGATTTAGTTTTTTTTAGAGATGATATACATTATAAAATGAATGGTTTAGATAAACAAAATATGATCCGAGTTCTATGAATACTTAAAGTTCATATTTGAATTTGAGAGGAATTGAACTTTAAATCATTTGGGTTATTAACCAGTCCAAAGTGGTGTCACCCTTGGAGAAGGCCCTTCGTTGGAACTTCAAGGCCCAATGGCTAGTTAGTTGCTGGGCCTGGGTTTGCTCAAGAACTGTTGGGCTTACATGTGCTCATGTGACTTGTGGGCTGCCTGTAAATGACCCAAAAAAGAAAAAACCTAGAGGTCTGTTTGGTTATGTTTATGTTTTTATTTTCCAAAAAATATAGAATAATTGCTTAGCAAACTGTTTCCCAAAACTGTTATAAGGAAATTTTTTATATTAAGTAATTGCGTATAGCATCATAGGTTGAAAAATGATCATGTTTCTTGTCTTGAGGTAATCATTCAAAAACTTTAAACAAATTTTCAGATATAATAATTAATAATAGTTTATTGAGACAAAAATGTGATCATTTAATAATTTCGAAATATTACATAAGATTATGTATGTGGTGTTCAAAATTATAATATAGACAATAATGATCCATCTTTATTAAATAATTTTTGAGACAATATATGATTAGTGTGTGTAGACACCCAATTTTTGACCGACTTTAAGACTCAGACGTCATCGATTGAGCGCTCGGTGATTGCACATGCTGTGCTCGTTCTGAGGTTACGGAGTCTCGGCTGAGAGCCTTGCCTCCGGACTTCGACACTCTTTTGTGCTTTGTCTCGATTTGCGCACCAGGTTCTGTTTTCTCTTCCCGAAGGGAGGGAGAGGTCTCGTAGACCATCTTTCATTGGCTGTAGGCTACTTTTCGTAGTCATAGACCACTATTCCCGTTTTGAGACCAGTTTCCGATTTTCGGAGCCGTCGGCTGTGCACCTCGGTTTGGGACCGCTTAACTTTCTCCGTTTGCTCCAGTTTTTGGCACACACCTTGTTTCCTCTCTCTAGAGGGACACTGTGGCCCGAGAGACCACCTTCGTGGTCGCACGCCACTTTCGATGCTTAATAGTCAGTTTTCGGGGCCTCCAACTGCGCGTTTTGGCCCCCGAACCCTCGTTTTGCATCCGTCTTGGTTCATTTTTTGCATGGACCTTGTTTTCATTGTTTGGAAGGTGGTACAAGAGTGGGAGACCACATTTTCTTCTTGGAGACCACTTTTCCCCGCCAGCTGGTTTTTCTTGTCAGGTAGCTGGTCTCCTGGACTTTTGAGCCACAATTACTGGTCTCCCATAGGAATGGCAACGGGGCGGGGCGGGGCGGGGTCGAGGATCACACTCCCCGTCCTCGATCCCCGATGGTAAAAGTTTTCCCGTCCCCACCCCCGATCCCCGACGGGGAGTCTATCACCGCCCCCACCCCCATTCCCTAACGGGGATCGGGTTTCCCTGACCCGAAAATTCCCCAACCAAAATATAAAAAAAAAACCGGACCAAAAAAAAAAAAAACCAAACAGAGAGGGATAGGGATGGCAATCTGAACAATACCAGAAGCTCATCAATATAGATTATTATCAACAACAGAGAGCATTATCAACAATAACTAAGCATTATTATCAACAACATAGATTATCAATATAGATCATAACAAAAAAAAACAAATCAAAAAAGAAACAGATCATTATCATAGATCCCAAAAAAAAAAAAACAATAACAGAACCAAAAAAAAAAAGGCGATCAAAAGCTCTCTCTCACTGTGCAGATCTGTGAAGATCAAAGGCGATCGAAGCTGTGCAGATCTGTGAAGATCGAAGCTCTCTCTCATCGCAAAAATGGCGATCAGAACACTGCGAGTGAGGGACTGAAATCGGTGAGATATAGGAAAGAGAGTAAATGGAAGAGCGACGGCGGCGGTGAGGGAGAACGAGCGAGCGACGGTAAAGGAGAGCGAGCGAGTGACGGTGAGGGAGAGTGGAGAGAGAGACAGAGAGAGGCGTGTTTTGTGTGAGTGTGAACCTATACACTGAGTGTGAACCTATACACTGATCCCATCCCAACTAGACACACACACATATATATATAGATGGGCACAAACGTAATTTTACTTCGGGAGAAATACGGGGACGGGGCGGGGCCGGGAAAGCTATCCCCGTCCCCGGCCCGAAATTGATCGGGGATTTAATTTTGAATACCATCCCCAGCCCATTGGGGATATTTTTCGGGGAAAAATCACTCAATTCGGGGACGGGGGGTCGGGTCACCGTCGGGCCGGGTCCAGATTGCCATCCCTGGTCTCCCACCATACCACTAGCTTGCATTGAGTTGGGAGACCACCCCTAGAGGCTGCCGACCAACTTTTGAAGCTTGAACCTTTTGACTCTGGTCAGCCGACCAGGGCAGGTAGTCGGCCGACCACTTGAACTGGTCGGCCAGCTTCCCCCTTTTCTGTCTATGTGAGTGTGT